TCGTCAATCCTAATGGCGATATAGTTTTTCAATAATAATTGTACATCGGTGTTTCCACGAATATATTTATATATACAAACCTAAATTATTCTTATCTATATTAAATTTATCAATATCTGTACAACCCAAATATTTACCAACCTCATTAAAATTGTTATTAATTATCCATCTTATTTTTGTCCAGCTTTGTACATCGTTCGACCGGTCGCAACGACTGCTTTATCCATCGCCTGAGAGTACGCCGTTGCCACCTCGTGATGGGTATAAAAGGACAAAGCACAGGTCGAACCGATACCATTCACTGCCTTTTCGGCGCCGGAGCAAGACCTACCCAGGCAGACTTGCATGGCTCGAAAGGCAGTCTCCCTCTCGGACTCAACGTGCGGTATATATCCAATCCATGGTGCAATAGTCAGAGTTATTCCGGCATTGTACCCGATTGATATATAAAAGACCTCCATAGTACAATAGTCGGAGTAATTCTGGCATTGTATTGTCTTATACCACACGTTCGAGTCCCATAAGTTACTAGTAAATTCATACTGTGTTTTTATATGATAATGTGTCAATTTTCCGAATGACTCTTTTCGAACAATAAAAAACCTTTTTCCGATATCAATCGTGTCTTGTAGTTATTTCAAACCCAAACCATCGAAACCAATCGTTCTACAAACCCCAGGTGTCAACAATCGGAATCGTCTTAAATTCTGACGCTTACGGAACCGGTGAATAATACATGTTTGATAACCCGTGATAACAATATCATTTACATCAACCACGACTACATCATCTGAAGAATGTTCACTTTCAACAGGGTGACTGGAATAGAAAGAGGAAATCTACTTGCTAAAACTATTGACCTTATTACTGAATCCGGAGCAAATCTCCATTCAGTAACCATTGATGGGGCTTCAGTAAATCTAAGTATGTGTACTTCATTAGGGGCTGATCTTAATATAAAAACCCCTTATATTCAAAATCCAAATTTATTTTTAAAAAAATTCTTGTTTTTCATGACCAAACACACATGATTAAGTTAATTCGTAATACTTTTGGGGATAAAAAGATATTGAAAAATGGTGAAGGACAATTTATAGAATGGAAGTCTATAGGAAAGTTGTTTGTAAAAAGAACAAGATGAAGGCTTAAAATTAGCGACAAAATTAACTTCAAGACATGTAAAGTACCAAAACGAGAAAATGAATGTTCGTTTAGGCAGCCAGTTCTTGAGTAAAAGTGTAAGTGATGCTTTACTTTACTTGAAGAATGAAGATCCAAATTTTGAAGGATGTGAAGCAACTGCTGAATTTTATAGTATGGTTAATAATGCATTTGACATAATGAACAGTAGGAAGTTATATTCTAAAAAACCTTACAACAGTGTTAATTTTACTAAAACATTTTACCAGTATAAAACATTTACAAATTAATTTACTAATAATATAGAAAATTTAGAATTTTTGGACGGTTTAAAAATTGTAAAATCAAAAAAGAAGACGGGTTTTAAAGGAATGGTCATGGGTTTGAACAGTGCATTAGAGTTATTTGAAATATTACAATCGAAATCTCACATAACATTTCTCATTATTTACAAACTTAAGTCAGGATCATTTAGAGACATTTTTTAGTGCTGTGCGTAGCCGAGGAGGCTATAATGATAAGCCGACATTCGGCCAGTTTCAAGCAGCTTATAAACGATTATTAGTACATACCCTATACTTGGTTCGATACATGGAAATTGTAGTATTCTTGACAGCACAAAAATACTACCAGTGACTAGCATGTTAAAAAATGATAATTTAGAAGAAGAACAAATTGATATTATTGAAAGTCATGTATTTTGGCTCAGTTGAATTTATAAGAGCTCCTTTTACGTTAATTTATATTGCAGGGTTTGTTGCCATAAAGTTAGAAAGGAAAATTGCTTGTGTTACTTGCGAAAATTCTTTAACTTCAACGACAACAACATACGAAAGTAAACTGGCAGAGATAATAGACAGAGGTGGTTTGAAGACACATAGTAAATGCCTAGAGACAGTTAAGGGTCTGAGAAAATATTTAGGTTGTATTCAATTGAGTCTATCAATCAAAAAAAATCTATCACGTTATTATGGTTAAATCAGTATTGTATAACAAATAATTAATATTTAAAAACATGTATTATGTAAGCCATGACATACATATGCTATTTTATCAAACACAACAGTTTGATGCACATACAGATCAACTGATTAAAAATATATGTGTTATGTATTACAACATTCGTTTTTTTCACGAAGTAAAAAAAGCAAATGATCAATTAAAAGTCCAAAGTAAATTGACTAAACTAGTTCATTTTCGACACGAATAAAAATTGTATACCTATTACATTAAATAATTTTATTTCACTAATCACCAAACTAATACCAAACAATATTAATACTGTCGAATTGAATTTTAAATAGAAATTAGAATATAGAATAATATTGTTAAATATCACTAATTAATATTATTACAGAATAAAACGATGTTATTTAATATTCATTATTATTTATCAATTATCATATCAATATTTGCCGTATATAATCTTCAAAATAGTATCACTAAATATTCATGTGATAAGTTCTTATCTTAGATCATATACTATTGTCACAGAACAAACAGAAGGGAATCTTATTTCATTTAACATAGGCTGTTATGGGAGATGATAAAACCACGTCCGAAATTTCTAAAATTTAAACGTGCTGCCACGTACCGGGAATTTCTCTTTTTTCTTTATATTGTGCAGCACTGTTTATTCGTTCAAATTTCTAATATATTATTATATTCAAACAATCAAACCGATTTTTTTTAAGAAATTGCATTTTTACCATTTATCTAAGTACAGAATCTAAGAAAAACAAAAACTATACATATTTTATTTATCACTTATCACTATATTTAGTTGATGAATGAACAAAAATGCATAGGTACACAGAAAATTACAAAACAAATTACGTACGCTGGTTTTAAATAATCTAAGCAGTACTAATTTTATTTTATTTTTGTGGAACTTGTGTAATTAGTACACGCAATTGCTAAGACAAATTGAAGATTTATTCTAAATAAATATACCGGTAGAAGTATGTGACATTGTTACATAACCTGTACCTATAGTCAGTAGGAATACCTCAAATTCACATTTAATACTCTCTAAGAGCTGTAAAATTTAAATTATTACACCCTATAAATTCAATTTATTTTTTTATTTTTTTGTAAAGTTTCAAAAACAAATTACATTATCGTAAACAATTATGACAAATAATAAAACAAACATAACAATCAACACGCATAACAAGTTAACATTATAATTTATTTAATAGGAAAACTCAGACTTTGATAGTTACCAAATGAGGAATATTAACTATGAAAGTACGTTAGTACTTGACTAAAAAATTATAAAAATAATTAAGTTAAAATAACAAGAATGAGTGGAATTGCAGATTAACAGTGTAGCCACAAACCACAGAAAACTTTAAAAAAAGGGAATTTCTCGGTACGTGGCAGCACGTTTAAAATCTAGAAATGTCGGACGGTTTTTCGATGAGCCTTAAGATTCCCTTCTGTTTGTTCTGTGCTATTGTGGTGACTTCGGCGTTTATCACCACTTTGCTCAACTCATTCGCCGTTACCATCCGTTTCGCGGTACTTTTATATTATATTCGTATTTATACAACAACTGTGATTTCTAGTATTTATTGTCTTTGTAATTATATTTATGTTCCCCGCTCAACTCGATCTCGCGTCTCCCATTGGCGACGCCAAGCGACTCGTCCCGCGACGGGTACGACGCGGCCGACCGACCGGCCAGCGCTCGCTTTGCTCACAGCCCTCGACCGAGACACACGTTTCGTCCGACCCACGACACACGCCCGACGCCATGTTTCTCTCGCAACGGCAATCGACTCGAGTAGCGATACGATCTCGATGATCATCGCGTACCTCGACTCGCCCGACCGACCGAACTCATGTCACGACGACGTTCTCGTCTCTCGACGTAGCGCCACGCTCCTTCGATCGCTCGTGCATCGAGCACACCGATTCCGTCGACCAACGCGACCAACGACCGCTCGACCGTCGAATAAATATGTGTACTGCGTACGTACAAATATGTTCTGGTTTTAATATACGACTTTCGACGCAACCGCGTCAACCAACGACATTGTGTGTTCATTAACTAAACTTGTGTACCTAATCCTTCCTGCAACGGAGACAGCAGCTAAACGAAGCGCATGTTAGGACAGTGCTATTGCCACAACCGACGCAGCGTCAACCACGACGATAGGGCAACGCACTTGTTGCTACACTATGGTCACTGAGATAGATAAAAATATACTTTAGCGCGGACTCAGCAGTAAGAACAAGCCGTCGCGTTTGACGTTATACCCACACCTTTATTGCAAAACATTTTTGTATATTACGACCTATGCTATGGTTGCAGACTTGCAGTATATTTTAGTATTCACTGTATTAAGTATTTGTTTTGTTTTATGTAGTGACCTATAGTATATAAAGTAATTAAAGGATTAAATGAGACATTAAGTTGCTCTCCATACAGGGATTAAAATGGTTTTGTCATGTTCGGATTTTGCATGTACCAACAGGTGGAGCAAAGAAAGTAAATTAAAATATATTCAATTCCATAGGTGAGTATTATTTTGTTGTAACATTTTTAATTTAACATAAGTAGTCATGATAAATATATTTTTAATTTAAAATTATGCTATTTATTGCAATTAATAGCTTATATTACTGTTGTAATAAAATATAAATTAGTATCCAATTGAAACCCTAATTTTAATATTTAGATTTTCACTCAACAAACCAGAGTTACTTCAAAAATGGGTGAAAATGATCAAAAGAAAAGATTTCATTCCTACAAAATACTATTTTATATGCAGTGAACATTTCATACCTGAGGACTATCAAATTCGCCCTGCAGCAAGTGTGAGACTGTCTAAAGAAGACGTTTATCCTAGAATATTGAATGGTTTTCCTAAATATTTACAAGAAAAAATGCCTGTAAAACGCCGTTTGCTTAACAGAAATGAAGTAAGTTTTTATGAACAAATTAAATATTTTTTTTTTACATTAGATTTAATGTTTTAATTATCGTATTTGCTGTTTATTTAACTGAAAAATACAATTTAAAACCTAATCCACCAACGTGTAGCACTACATCAATGGCAAATAAAGAAGACATGGTTAATAATTGTCCACCTGTGGTTTAGGTGTGTACTTCTTTATTAATTAGTTTGTATTTACAGCATATACATTACAGAAACAGCATTATGAAAGTTAAATTAGCAGCGCAGTCCTTAATAATGAACTAATTGACATGAAATAATTTGCATGAATAATTAACTTAAAGTTTTGCAATTCATCAAAGGATCTCGACTCTATATTAGATCTGAAGCTCTGTATGACGTGATTATTTTCACGCAAAACTGTTTGCAATGATTCAATGAGACCTCTTTTTAAATTTGGAATCATATTTGTTCGAATAGAGATATTTGATCCGACTCTGACATAAAATATATTTGTAAAAATTTAGCATTATTTCCAATTTCAGGTAATAAACTAACTATTAAAGGATGCACTTGACCCTGAATTTTAAAAGTGGGCATGAAGTCCCCTTCAGCTATTTCGTTTCCTCCAAACGATGTCATTTGAAACAGAGTATTATACCCCGTCTAGAATTATCAAAGAAATGTTTTGATAGAGTGTGAGAATTATCAATTAAACTTTTGATTAATTCTGGAAGATCCTCAAATTGTTGTAAAACAACTTTACCGTTAGCGCAGCAAAGTCCACTGGTTTCATCTTTCCATTTTTTTGCATGGCACTTAGGACATAATATCGTCATTGGTCCTATTTGAAGCGCTTTAATATTTAAATAATCAATCTCGGATTGATAATTAAACGCTGATTTCATACTCAAAGCGTTACGTTGCTCCTGTGCAAGTGTTTGAGAACGTTCTGGTGTGTTATACATTCTGTTATACATTCGAGTAGCATTGGCAGTTCTTCTGCCAATGTATGTCTTGGCATGATGATGAATTAGCCACTTACCCGAAATTTAACTCATAAGAATAATCAAAAAGTAAGCACTAATTATGCTCGTAATGGGAGTATACGTAATTCACGAAAAATAATAACTGAAATCAACAAACATGCCCGATTAAACAATAGCAACCAGAATACACTATTATTATTTTAATCTGCAACAACAACAACTTTTTTTCTGGACAGATTGCGCCACTGTTGTATTTTTGACATCCATATTTCCTACTTTCTGGTGGATTTTCTAAACAAAAGTGGTCCTATGACCTCCAGCAGACTGTCATGTATAACAGTAAAAAATTTCTGCCAGATCGGTTCTGTAGTTTTCTCGGTTAGCACGGCCTAAGAAAACCCTTACCATTTTATATAATAGTATAGATTAACCTTAACGTCAATAAATTGAAATATTACATTAGTATATTACAAGGAATGTGATTTTGATATTGTTTTAATACTGAAATTAATTGATATACCATATAATTTAAACCAATAATCAATTACCACTCAAAATATATAAATGGTAGCGGAATTAAAAATAATAGTTTTGCATATTATTAAGAATCAAGGATTTTTTACTCCTAATATATTTTTGATGCGGATGTTACCCTCCATTTTTTTTTTATAGCTTACTATTTAATAATATAATATAATTATTTAATATTAAACTAATTTATGAATATTGTTTAATATTTTTAAATATTTTCATAAATATAATAAATTATAGATGTATTTTGTTGATGAGTTCAACTACTTGAATCAAATCCACAAGAAATTATTAAATTGTTAAATATAAAAACTGGTACAGATTTAACAAAAAAAAAATAAATAAATAAATAAATATGAACAAAGGCTAAACAATATAAGATAGAAATAACAAAAGAATCAGAATTCAAATGTTTTTTTCAAAATGTATCATTTTTTTAAATGATACATTAATATGATCATTAATATTTAATAATGAATCTTCATCGCAGGAAGAAATTGAACGTGCTGGAGAAAAATATCTTTTAACATTATATAAAGTTCCAGCCCACATTATATCTTTGAATAAACTAAGACATGATGTTTTTTCAAAAAACACAAGTTCAAGTACCTAGACTTCCACCTACTATCGATGCGGCAAGAGAACATTTACATAGAGTTTATTTGCAAATACAGTTGTGGCGTGGTAATAAATTAGATCCACAGAATTGGGGCTGGAAAGAATATAATGGTAAACTAAATCAAGTTTTCACGAAAAAGTCACCAGCACTGGATACTATTTTAAAGTGATTAGTTGTGCCTACACAAAAACATGTGAAAAATATCGTAGCTGTCGAAAAGCAGGATTGCTATGTTCAGTTATATGCAAGCGTTGTCAAGGAGGTTCGTGTTTAAATCAGCAACCGATCATAGATGATGAAGAAGAGGACCATTTTGAGGACAATATTGACGAAATAAGTCTAATTGAAAATCAAAAAGAAGAAACCAACATACCGACAATAAAAAAAATTTGACCCACATAATTTAATTAATAAGGTACAGTATGATTTTAATAATTCAATACATAATATAATATAAATAATTAAATATGAAAATATTAAGTATATTAATTAATTTTTTTTCATTGCCTACAACCCCATTAGGTACACCATTCCAGGACCTACACCATTTTTTAAATTTAATTTCATAGCTTATAGTCTGAAAACATAAAAAAAAATGTATAATTTTCAATTTTTGTATTTATTTTATTATTGTAATTTATAGTTATTTCATAATTAACTTTTTTTTTTATATTTCACTTTTATAAATATGTATGTTAAATAAAATAATGAATTTGTAACGTTATGGTTACTGACGCCCGGCCATATATTGTAGGTCGCCAACCTATGACCCGTAAAACACCCTACTGGTGAAGGAGGCAGTAGGATTTAAAAAATATGGTAGAAGAATAAAACAATTAAAAAAACAAAAAGTTAAGTTAGATAACTGGGAAAATGTATATAAATTTAGTGGAGAAAGCTCACTGGCGTAAAACTCCAACAAGAGAAAATTAACACAAAATAAAACTATTTCGACTGGAGCTTTCGTCACCCCGTTGTATACACACGCCACACTACCAGTGGGTAAATATAAAACAACATTCACTTAGCGTCGTACGTCGTGATTAATATCGCTCCGTATTATTTAATTATTTCCTTGTGTAATAGTTTTCCGTTTTTTGTGATTTTTATTCAAGTATAACATTAAAAGTGCGCTTATAGTCTTGTGTTGTTGTTGATGCTGTCTGCCCTCAATCTCTTCCCTTTTGGGCAGTTTTCCTACGATACTTAAGGTACAGTTCCAGTTATTTTAATCTTATCTACCAATTACGGTTTGAACTTTGAGTTTTCGTGCTGGTGTGTGTCTGTCAGTTATCTCGGTTCTTATTACGGCACGTGTCAAGGTCGACGGATCGTCTATTCTGGTTAAAGCTATATGTACCGGGTGCATAATAATTTGCCTACCCACATCGTTACGGCGTTTGCTTGTTTTACCGCCCATTATTAGCAATACTACGTGCATTATGCTTCCAGCTACTTCTGAAACATTGGTATTAGAGCTCGGAAAATGGACTAAGCCCATGCTTATTGATTTTATTCTAAATAAAACACTACCCCCGGGGGTAAAGGTAAGCGAAAGTCCATTATCACACCTCAATACCAACACTTTAGAGCCTGAATCATCGGACACTTCTGTTAATGTTGCCACTATATTACATTCAGTCGTAATTGAGCTAAAAAACATTTCCGAAAGTAATCGGTTGATTAACGTTAAATTGAATAGTATTACTGACCCTAATTCTAATGTAATGTCTCCCCGAAATACATTTTGTCGAGCAGTGAATCACGTACCTACAATCTCGGCAGTTCCAGCTTCAACTCGTGTACAAGCGTCTGACCGTCCTAAGTTTATTGTTGGTTCTGGTATAAATACCTCCTCTGCCTTATCTGCTGCTCCAACTCAGAAATTCTCCGATCTGTTCGTCTCTCGGTTAAACCCTACTGCCACTGCCGATCTGCTTAAATCTAAATTGTTCTCCGAATTTGAAGACATCACAGTGACTCAGATGGTTACTAAGCATCCAACATATGCGTCGTTCCATATTCACCTGCCGTTTGACAAACTCCAGGATGTTCTTGAACCTTCATTTTGGCCCGATGGAGTTATTGTCAAGAGATTCTGGGGTCGTCTTCAGCCAGGTATGATATTAAATTCTACAAACTCAAAAAACTAAGCCACCATAACGTCCAATTGTCACTTGGCTTCTACCAAAACTGTCGTGGTCTTAGAACCAAATTACCTTGTTTTAAATGTAATGTGTCTTTGTTTAATTATATATTTATTTGTCTATCCGAAACTTGGTTAAGTGACAGTTTTTTCGATAATGAATTAGGTTTAATTAATTATGCTGTATTCAGATGTGATTGTAATAGAGGTGGTGGTGCTCTCATTGCCATTCGTAACGATGTTGTTTGTGAATTATTACCTACCACAGCCTATAATGTTGAGCATTTATTAGTTAGATTCCACGTACAAAATATCACCTTTGTTGTCTGTTCCGTCTATATCCCTCCTAATAGCCCAGTTCTCGTCTATGAGTCATTTATGTCGGCTGTCCAAGCTACTATCTCTCTCAATTCAGGTTGTGTATTCATAATCTGTGGTGACTTCAACCTTCCAGATACCTCATGGTCAAACGACGATTATGGTCTAATCTATTGTTCATCTTCAAGCCCTAGAGTGCAATGTGTACCTGAAATATTTGCTTTCAATAATTTTTTCCAGCTCAATGGGGTTTCGAATCATTTTGGGGGAATCCTGGATTTGGTGTTTTCCAACAACTGCAGTGTTTTGGTAGAAAATTCAGAAGTTGTATCTGTTCCTTGTGATCCATATCACCCTGCGCTTGTTATCAAATTTCCCTTCGGCCGGGACCATCCACTTCTTGACAACTCCCATAAATACTTTAATTTCCATCGTGCATGCTATTCGGACATATGTTCTTTCCTTTTGTCCTTCAACTGGCTTGAAACTATTGAGTCTCTCGATGTGGATCAAGCAACCAATGCATTATATGATGCTCTGCATTTCTGCGTTTTGAATTTTGTTCCTGAGGTCAGTTATAGTCCTTCTAAATTTCCACTGTGGTTTTCTAAAGACGTCAAATCAATAGTTAGTTCTAAAAAACGGGCGCATGCCAAGTATAAAGTTTCCCGTTGTCCCAGAGATTATAACGAGTTTTCTAATCTCCGGGCACGCTATAAATATGAATACAAAAGGTGCTATAAATCGTTCATAGCTCAAACTGAGTGTAAGCTAAAAACCAATCCTCGGACTTTTTGGGACTTTGTCCGGAAAAATAAATCCAGTGATGGGATTCCATATACAGTTCATTTTGACAAAAAGATTGGTTCTGGTTCTGAATCAGTTTCTAGCCTCTTCTCTTCTTATTTTAGCACCGTTTATGCCACTCCCTCTTCCAGCCAAACTCCTGTTATTTCCTTTTCTCATTTTAACTTACCAAGTAACTGTTCCTTTACCACTTATGATGTCGAACTGAGTTTGTCTATGATAAAAACTTCTAAGTCAGCTGGTCCAGATGGTCTGCCTGGGACGTTTCTATATAACATAAGATCCGCTCTCTGCTTTCCTTTATGGTTGATATTTCGTCGCTCCTTTGACATGGGAACCTTAAAATCTATGTTCAAGATTAGCTCAGTCACTCCTGTATTTAAGACTGGTGATAAAACTGATGTTAACAATTATAGACCTATTACTATCCAAAATCATATTGCCAAAATCTTTGAGATGCTTGTCCTGAAGAGTATTCAGTGAATTCTATCTTAGTTGATGAACAATACGGTTTTAGACCTAGCTGTTCTGCTACTACGAATCTGATAGTTTTTCATTATTTCCTATTGGAGGCTATTGAAAACCGAACTCAGGTGGACGTTATTTTTACAGACTTCTCCAAAGCGTTCGATCGTGTAGACCATAAAATACTAATTGAAATTCTATATAAAGCTGGATTTGGGGAGCCCATTCTTTCTTGGTTCAAATCTTATTTATCTGATAGGGTCCAATATGTAAAAGTCTTAGGTTGTAAATCTGAAGCAGTCTGTGTACCTTCAGGAGTACCTCAAGGGGGCACTTATCCCCCTTGTTGATTTCTCTATTGGTTAATGGTCTAAAACAGTTTATCCCGGATTCTATGTTCCTTATGTTTGCTGACGATTTGAAAATTTTCCGGATAATTGAGTCAGTAACTGATTGTGTAACCCTCCAGAATGAGCTAGATGCTCTTGTTTTATGGTTCAATTCTATGGGGTAATTCCAATGTAGGTAAATGCCAATCAATGTATTTTGCCCGTAGTAGAAATATTATTCACTACATGTACTTGATAAACGGGTCAAGCATTAATATTGTTACTATGAAGAAAGATAAAGACTTGGGTATTTTTTTTATGTCCAAATCTCGATTTTCATTACCATATTGAGGCTGTTTGCTGTCGTGCATTAAAGATGCTCGGCTTTGTCATACGCACTTCTAAAGAATTTAGGCTCTCTAGTTCTCTCAAAGCTTTATATTGCTCCCTTGTGCGGCCTCTTTTAGAATATTCTTCCATTTTGTGGGACCATTTTACGGCAGCAGACTCTTCTTGCATTGAGAGGGTCCAGAGGTGTTTTTGTTCTTCGGCGTCATTTATTTTACAAATTCCACATCCACCACATGATTATTGGCCAGTGATGAATAAACTTGGACTCTTGTCCCTGGCAGATAGAAGAGTTGATGCTAACTTGGTATTTTTGCATAAGCTGATTGACGGACGTGTGGATGCTCCCACTCTCCTTTCTCTAATTAATTTTAAAGTTCCCTCTCGCTTAATAAAGTCTAATTCTCCCTTTGTTGTTCCTTTCCACAGCACCAACTATGGAAGGAATAATCCAATCCATCGTATGATGCGTATTTGTAATGAGCACCTATGCTTCTCTTAGTAAGTTCTATTTTGTTGTTGTTTTTAATTTTAATACTTAATCTGTTATTACTTATTACTGTTTTTACCTTTGTTTAATTATTGTTTTATGTTTATTTGTATATAATCGCCGTGTATTGTTTGGCGTCTACCTACTTATTGTTATAATATTAATTTTCATAACTACAAATTGTGTTGTGCTATTGGGCTCTTAGCCCGTTCATACATAAATAAAATAAAATAAAATAAAATAAATATAATAATAAGTAATAATATTAATCATAATAGTGCAGTATTCACCTTATGACATACTAATAAAAAAAAGAGCCGGCCAAGGCATACAAATAATAATATAAGTCTTACATATTAGTATATTACAAAATGTAGGTCTACGTGTCAAAGCAGCGATTTCCGTCAGTTCTTGCCCTTCGGTGAGGCTCACTACGGAAGGGATTTCTGGGCGTATTACTCCATTGTACTTTTATGGTTTATTTTCAAAAATAAAAGACACACACCATATGTACAAAAAAAAACGGTAATAACAAAACGCGTTAGCCGGCGTACAGTGGAGTAACTGATTATTAAGCTCTAATTTAATGAGCTCTATCGTATATTATTGTATCGTCCGGGAAACCATATAAAGTGAAGTGGTGGGAGGATTCGGATGTTGCTCCCGCGTCCGGGCGCACACACCATGTAGCGAGAACACAACACCGAGCAAGTAGATCACGACATCGGTGCGGGGTGCTGGTAAGTTTGTCAAGGTGCATGTGTTGCGTTACAAATTCTTATTGTAAATTTTATGGTCTTTAATTTTGGTCATAGGTATTTTTATTGTAACTTGAAAAGCTGACGAGTTATAAGCGAAAACAGTGAAAGGGGCGAGCCACCCTTTGAAGAGGGGTGGAGAGCTACGCACAAAGGGTAGGTATCAGGACTTTTAGTATGTTCATTAGTGAGGTATAAACTAAAAAAATAAATCAAAATCCAGCTTTCGTGGAATTAGTTCCGAACTTTGTCAATTTTTGGACTAATTTGACTGGGCTACTTATCACAGCAATGATTGTTTTCGAAGTCGAAAGTACCTAATATTATATTGTTTATAATGTATACTTGTATTATAATATCCTAGTGGTATTTCCTTATTTTTTGTTTGCAAGATATTATTTTATTATATGCACATTGTCTGATTGTCATACTTGATATTTAAATATTTTGAATATGGCGAACAAAAGTAAAAAAAAATTAAACATTCGCAAAAGAAAATAGTAACTCGTAATCTTCTAATACTATAAAATGATAGACAGCTGACTGCGACCACAGTTGTCTATAGTGTACCAATGGAAAGGAAAACGCCGGCTATAGGAAACCTGTGGCGTAAAAAATGAAGCACCGCTCCGTTTCCCCAGTCCGCCGGCCATGTCCCGTCGATTCCTTATAGCGCGACCAATCGCGTACCTTCGCAGTGGCGGCGGTCGGTTTTAAAACGTTTTTCGTTATCACCTTTTTTACTAACATTTCACCGATTTTTGAAATTTTTGGGAAATTAACTGTTTTTACACGATTTCGACCCTTTTCGCCCTTTTTTATACTTAATTCGAAGCCGCCGGTGTGCGGTTTATATTCGCCTTGTCGATCGAAAAATACACTCCCGGCCGGACTTTTTTTGCCGATTTTTTCGTTTTCTCCCACCGTTTCGTCTAATCGCACGCCGTTTGTGACCGAATCGTGTAGTCAACGTCTATTTAAAGCCGTTTATATGCGCTTTCCCCCCGAAATCAGTTTGTTCGCCTCGCAATCGCGTTTAGAAATTACGCCGACCACCGACCGACCTTACGCGTATATATAAATGTATTATCGTGTATAATTTAATTTTGCCTATGATTTAATAATTATTAACGGAAAACGCTTTTCACACGCCCCGTGAAAAATATATATGGGAGATGCGCGTATTACAAGCGAATTATATGCGATTACATCGATGATCATCGAATATATCGGTTTACGTAGCTCCGTAGACGCACGGCTTAACTGTTGATGTTTTGAACGTATTCCAATCTCAAACTGAGTAGGTTAGGCGTTAGGTAGGAAACACGTAGATCCCGGGTTCGAATCCATCGTAAGCTCTCCGGGCGGCGAAATCGTCAATGCCGTATGGTTTACACGACCGCCCGAAATCCCACTTTTTTGCATTGTTTTTTCACGTTATTTTTCATATAAATTAAATAATAATATAATAATACAGGAACATATCGTACAT